CTCATTAAGAGCATTACCGCAGGTTTTTAAACTATGCTGCCACCAAGGCCAGCCATCTTGTGGGATAGACTTGCAAGGATCAGCTATTCGTGTACGTTTGTCTTCATTAAGCCATGGTTTCGTTATATCTATCTTCTGTAATATCCACCAATTGACAATCATATCATCATTTATGAATAAGTAACCTTTAAAGTGACGATAAGTACGTATAGCTTGCCCTAGACATTCGTAAGAATAGTAGCCTTTATGGATAGCTATCTGAATAAAGGGATAGTTGACACCAGGTCGTCTCGACCCACATATGGTTATATTAAGGAAAGCTTGTTTGTAAAACACTTGTAGAAGAGGGAAGCTGTCGTAGAATGGGTAATTAAATGATATTACAAGTAATACACCATGTAGAGCCTGATCGCAGTCGTGCTTCTCACCATCATATTTAGCTTTTGTACCATTCTTTAAAACATTACTGTCTAAAAGAAAAAAAACCGTAACATTTATTACTCTGGGTTTCCTGTCTTGAGGCATTCCAATGGCTGCCCTTCGTACTTTTGTCTGATACTTCGCTAAGCTTTAATCACACGCAATACAACAAAACTGAAAACATTAATCTAATGACAGTCTGTTTTGCACAAAACTCGTATCCGGTCGCCAGGTCGCTTCTCTCGCTATTCGCGCAATTTTAAGGCGGCTAAATACGAGAAACAAAAACCCTCAACTTGGCGCGAAACATTGTTGCGCGCCTAGTTGATGGTTTTTGTATCTCGTATTTAGCCGCCTTTATCTTCGGGCGTAACAAAAATACAAAAGAGAGTAACGAATGTGCACCCGGAATTTTCTCATGTGAAAGCCACAAGAAAACGCCAGGTTTACGTAGCAGCAGCAAATAACTTACTATGATACCAATCTTGGACCAAGGTACTGTTCAGTGTAAACCATGTAACGAATACAAAAACAAAGATAACAAGTATCATCTTTTTGCATAAATTTTGTAGACACGACATTCCATGATAGAGCTTACACTGAAAATCAAGAGAACATCGAGAAAAAAACATTAGATATAGGTTAAAAAATCTCGTGCGAGGACATGAATTTCGATGAAAGACCGTGCACGACTATCGTTTTTGTAGGATAAGATTATGATRAGATTTTCAGTGATCATGACCACCAACCGCAATATTGAAGACAGTGTTCGCAGTGATTGTACCCCTAGACCTTGTGTAATGATTAAACGCTAGTCTAATAGAGCGACGAGGACTTCATCTTTAAGTATTGACGTTCTAGTTCATGCCAGATTTACAAGCTTAATGATCTAAAATAGGCATGGTATATGCTACACCACAACATCCCATCTCATGTTGGATAACAAAAGCTTTATACGTGTAACGAGACAAGAACAAAACCTACCATGTGAGTTYTGTACAGCACAGAAAATGGTCTTGTTCACTGTGCTGCTAGAGGTTCTCATTTCAATGTACATGATAAACAATAATGTGAAACCATATACTCATATTGTGACCTTTGGTCTCAGTCTTCAACCGCCTCACGTTTTTTTGAGTTGAAACCATTCATTCACAACTTTCCCTACGCAGGTTCAGTGACGTGTTAGTGACCACGAAAAAAGGATTGAACCAATGCGTCAAGGTACACTGAAAGAAAAGATCTGTGATCAGCATTCCTTGTCGCCTGATCCGTTCAATACTTTGTTCGTGGTCACTGAACCTGCGTATGGAATATTTATTCTCCCGTATTTTTTTTAACAAGCCATTTCAATGCATAATTAATTCACAATCGTTTTTGGTTTAGAGGTGCTCGTTTGTTTAACTATTACACGTGCTCTTCAAGTGTAGCAAAATAATACTGACATCGAACCGACTTATGTATAAGTAGAACTATAAAACGGCGCGCGTATCTCTGACTAAACTCGATCGTCAACCAATCAGAACGCGCGTTATATATCCAAAATTTTAGTCACAAGAGGCCAATGTCATTATCTTTATTCGATCGTGTTTCTTTGTATATACATTTCATCATCTGTGTTTACAATCCACGAAAACTGAAATCATTTGAATCATCTAGCTCAGTACTACAGAAAAACAAGTAATGCCTCTTATATCGAGCGCAAACAAAAATCGCGTGGAAAAGTAAAAGCTAAAAGTCAGGTAAATAGTGTTGATCAGATAAATAAAAATACAAAATTAGGCATAAATCGTCGCACCTATTTCATGCTTTTATTACTGGTGATCTAGTATCGAAAATATTTTGGAGTTTTCGCCGTTTTGCCTGCCTTAACGATCTCAGATATGGTCAAGAATTCAGCAATGACATCGTCTGCTTCATGAAAAATCGATGGAAAATGTGCCAGTGAATGTTTTTTTTACTGTTTTCCATGTCGTTGATAATCAGGAGCTCGTTCTCTGTTGAGATAAGTTCAGACCGCATTTTGGTCATTGTGCCAGTAGAGACTTGAGCATCGTAAATTAGTATTAGGTCCACTTATAGCCCACGTTAAATACGACGTCTAAATATTACTTTATTGGTTGCGGTCTGACATGTGCTCGAGTACAACACTGTTGAGGACATTGAGGTGCACATGAGTTTAAGCATTCGCCAATACAAGATCGTCCCATCAGAGAGTACTGGTAACCGCCAACTGTCCCTGAATATTGGTAAGGATTTGATGGAGGCATTTGACCATATCCATACTGTGGGTACCCCCGTGTGTATCCAGAGTAGTAGTCGCTGTACGTACGGACTGCTATTGGTTTAGGGGCTGGGGCTGGGGGTGGTGATTGTGGTGGTCGCTTGTTAACGTGTTTTCTGATAGGATTACCTTGATATCCATTGTATGCATAACCCTGTCCATAAGTACCATAAACCGACCGTGGGTACCCTCCCTGTGGGTACCCTCCCTGTGGATAGCCTTGTGGGTAGCTATAAGGGTACATCCTCCGGTAGTTTTGATAATTTTGGTATGGGTTAAATTGTCTATACTGCGGATAGTATGATTGATAGTACTGTTGATATGGATTTTGTTGTGGTCTTTTCTGTTGTTGCAGGTTTACTGATGGCGTCTCTACAGGAGGTGGTGTGTCATCTTCATCTTTTGATTTCGTTTGCTTGGACTTTTTCTCTGATGGTTTTGGTTTGTCATGAAAGCTCAGTTGTAATGGAGAACCTGAATACCCGGTATACCCAGGATATCCGGCATACCCGGGATAGCGTGAATAGGTCGGATAACGTGAGTAGGATGGGTACCGGGGATAACTGCGTAAATAACCTGGATATCTAGAATAACTGGAATATCGAATGTCACCCGGATAGCCTCTTCGGTATCCTTGGTAACCACGGTAGCCTTGACTACCATAATAACCTCGTTGATAAGGGTAACCTGGGTAGCCTGGTCGTTGGTTATATCCCATATAACCTTGCGCGTTTCCATATTGGGTCATGCAGCACGATGGATTGCAAGCCACGGGTTGACATTGTTGCGGGATGCAGTAGCTTGGACAATTTTGCTGTTGATCTGTGAAAAAATAAACGGCTATCTTTCACAGGAACTATTGACAGAAAGACAAGCATAGACACGTGACATCTCTCACGTGATTTCAATAAATGTATACTCATATCAAAAAAATTAAAAACTCACCAACGATAAGCTCAACTTTAACCAATTCCACTGGCTCACCAAACAGCACCCCCCTGATCGTCGCACGTTTTTGGGAGTTGCCATCTGCACTAGCACCTTGTAGTTTGTTCCTCAATTTCTCGATAGGATCGACAGGGGCGTCGTCGTCTGGAGTAAAGCTGATGCGAGTAATAGCCTCGATTTTATCTTGATCACTTTTTCTGTAAAAAATAAAATAAAATAATAATAAAAATTAATATGAATAAATTAAAAAAAAATAAAAATTAATATGAATAAATTAAAAAAAATTAAAAATTAATATGAGAATTAATATGGACTTATTGGACTGTTAGATAAATTAGACAACAAAGCAAAGTGGTTGAACGATCACAGCAAACTGACAAGACATGTAAACGAGAATGATTACTAAAATCGCATGGCCAGGATGGGAGAAGTCTGTTGGTACCGGCTGTGGAAATGTTGGTGGTGGCACAGGAAACCCAGCAATGATGTGATGCTCAACTACTAACCTGAAACCTCTAAAATCAAGGCCATTAAACCAATCTGCGTCTCGATAGGTCTCGAATATCTGTAAAAGCAGTTGATATAGTTAGCCCGTTGTTTAAACTGCAACACAAATGTTTGACTTACCGCGTTCTCGATGTGAGACTTCAGAGCCTGGTAACGAAGTTCTTGCGGGCTGTAAAGTTTGTCGGTCCATAGTTTGTTCATATAACGAAAGACGAGTTCATAGGTGGTCAAGTCTGGAAAAAAAACAATGATTTACAAACACTACCCAACACACGATAGTCTAAAATAACTACATTACCTCGAAGTTTTCTCTTGCACACAAAACTCTGACCTCTATCACATGAGATATATCTCCATTCAAAATCCAAACCCAGTACAATACATTGACGCCCTTTGGCTGGTGTCTGAATGAAATCCCAGCGAGTGAATCGATGAGAGGTCCCGTCCACCCACGCATAGATACCATCGTTGTCGTGGTCTCCCAGACCAATCCAAGTGAAGTTTAGTTTAGCTGTTGTCTGGAAAAATAACACAGTTTGATAAATGTATTATGTTAATGAGATATATCATATATCGGCCATATCACAGCACTTGACATTATACATCAAATATCATATATCGGCCATATCACAGCACTTGTCATTATACATCAAATATCAGAGTATGAAGCTATACCAGTAATGTCTATATCATATCATATATCGGCCATATCACAGCACTTGTCATTATACATCAAATATCAGAGTATGAAGCTATACCAGTAATGTCTATATCATATCATATATCGGCCATATCACAGCACTTGTCATTATACATCAAATATCAGAGTATGAAGCTATACCAGTAATGTCTATATCACATCATATATCGGCCATATCACAGCACTTGTCATTATACATCAAATATCAGAGTATGAAGCTATACCAGTAATG